GGCGGGGCAGGGCGGGGCGGTCGATCACCCGCTCCTCGCCTTATCGCGTCGACCAGAGCGGAGCGGAGTAGATCGCGGCTCCGCCCGGTCAGCCTCCGCGTCCTGTCGTGGGGTCTGTGGGGTCGCCATCGTGTGGACTTCCCTTGCTCACCTGGCCTCCTGGCATCCCAAGCCTTGCCGTGCCTTGCCTTGCCGCGTTACATGCGAGTGAAAGGGGTGCACCCGGGCGCACCCGTCGTCGACCTGAGCTAAGGGTGCAGCACGGCCGGGCCCCTAGCCACCGCTGCCGCACCCCGCCCCGCCACCCGCTACCCGCCACGCTGTTGGCGGAGCACGGCGCGTGGCTTGGCCGAGGGCTTGGCAAGGCGCGTGCTATAGTTAGCTATGGCTGCATGGGCTTCATGGGTCGCGGGGTTCCCGGGGCCGTCACGAAACAATCTACGCCCAATAATGCGGCGCGAGGGCCGCTGGCTAAGGAGAGCAGGGTGCACAAAGGGGGTACCGGGCACCACCCTCCTCGGCCTCTTGTACTGGGGGCGCAGTGCTCTCGTACCCGGTCCGAAAGACGAGATGTAAGATGGTCATTCACACGTCGGTTTTCTCTTTTGTTTGCAGGGATTTATCGGCGACAACGTCACGCAGGATGAGATCCCTTCCTTGGTGTCGGCCAAGATCAACGGTGCCACTCCTCTAATCATGGCGTGCAGGAATGGGCACTATGATGTGGCCGACTACCTCATTGAGCATTGTCACGCGGACATCGAACAGCGAGGATCAGGTGGGTGAGAGTCCTAGGGGCGTGACTGGCTGTCGTTGACGGCTACGTCACCTCATCTCCACCCTCCTCCTCATCAATATCATCCTCCTCATCCTCCCCTGTCTCCTGTTGCAGTCGTGTTTGACGGGGAGACCATTGAAGGTGCCCCTCCCCTGTGGTGCGCGGCGGCGGCCGGTCACTATCCGCTGGTGAAGCTGCTGCTGAGCCACGGGGCGCGAGTCAACAGCACGACCCGCACCAACTCAACGCCGCTCAGGGCCGCCTGCTACGACGGCCACTACGAGATCGTCAAGCTGCTCATCGACCATAGAGCGGGTCGGTGTCGGTCCCCTTCCTCCCCGTGCTCTCGTTGCGTTACAAATTGTTGTCTTTTAAAATTTTGGTTTAATTTTTCTTTATTCGTTTTAGACTTTGAAATTCCAAATCGGCATGGGCATACCTGCTTGATGATAGCGTGTTATAAAGGGCACAAGCGAATCGCACATTACTTGGTGTCACTCGGAGCAGATGTCAACAGGCGCAGTGTGAAAGGAAACACAGCCCTTCACGACTGTGCTGAATCCGGATCCCTGGATGTTCTAAAATTACTTTTAAAGAATAATGCAAAAATGGATGTGGACTCCTATGGTAATTTTTTGTAATTCAACTAATATTGTGGTATTGTTGCTTTTTGTGTTTTCTTTTAAAGACTTTGTCACTTTTGTGTTCCCTAGGAATGACTCCTCTTCTAGCTGCTAGTGTCACAGGACATGCACATATTGTTGAGTACTTAATCAAGCAAGAAAATCTAGTATCACAAAAGGAGAAGGTTGATGCTCTTGAACTTCTTGGAGCTACTTATGTTGATAAGAAGAGGGATATGGTGGGAGCACTGAATTATTGGAAATTAGCAATGGATGAAAGGTCTGAATAATTTGTATTTTAAAACTATTTTGTTTATTTAAGTCTATATTAAATACCACAAGGGATCAAATTAATTTTATTCTCATGTTTTTCTTTTGTGATTCTAAAGTTAACTGTGTCTTCCAGGTACAATGGAAAGATTGAGTTGCCAAAGCCTTTCCAAAAAACCACTGTTGAAGCCTATGACCATGTGAAAGAAATAAGAGATCCCCAACACTTAGAAGACCTTCTCTCTGATCCAGATGAAATGAGAATGCAAGTAAGTGGATACTTTACCTTCATACTTATCTAAGTCTTATTAACGAAGCCTTAGTCCGACCTTAGTCAATACAGTGAGTAGTGTTGATTAAATTTAAAATACTGTCCTTCTTTTCCTCTTTTTAGGCTCTCGTTATTAGAGAACGTATTCTTGGACCAGCCCATCCTGACACTTCATATTATGTTCGATTTCGAGGTGCTTTCTATGCTGACGCAGGACAGTTTGGCCGTTGTGTTTCTTTATGGACCTATGCGTTAGATATGCAGCAAAAAATGCTTGAACCTCTTAATCCAATGACTCAGAGTTCTTTCTTTTCCTTTACCGAATTATTTTCATATATGATGGGAGAAGAAGGCAGAGTGCCTACCAGAGGAAGACGGGTCCCTCCAGTCATGTTTTATGACCTTGTAAGTTACAAAAAAAGAAGTGTACTGATAGCAAATTCTAGCTGTGTTTGTATTTAATCTTAAATCTTATCCTATGATTACAGATGACTGTTTTTGATAAGGCTGTGAAAGAAATAGAAATGGGGATTGCTTTAGTGGAAAAACTCCCAGCTGCAGAACGGGACTTGACATACTTACATCGAGTCATAGTAATTTGCCTCCATCTTGGTTGTTTGCTGACAAAAGTTTTGCCGCAAGTAACAGAAGAAGAATCTTATCACTTGCATAAATCTGCATATAGATTAGTTAAATTAGGAGTGCGAGGTCGCACTGGTCGCACTGTGTTGCACCTTGCTTGTGCACGGGATTCAGCTCTTGTAGGAAGATATCCAGCTTGCCATTTCCCCAGTACAAGTTTGGCAGATCTCTTATTGAAGGTTGGAGCTGATCCTAATGTAAGTTGTTGGTTTGTTTTGTTTTTTATATTCTTTTTTTAAGATATTTCTCAACATGTAATTTTATCCTTTTTTCTTTTTCATTCAGGCCAGGGATGATGAGGGCAACACTCCTTTACATATTGCAGCATCTTGCTCACATCTTACATCCTATTCAGCAGATCTTCCTAGGCTTCTCCTTAAGCATGGTGCTCACTTGGATTCTGTCAATGATGAGGGCAGAACATTTGAAGATTTGTGGACAGAATGGGGACATCCCATTCATGCAATTGTTAATCCTGTGCCATATACCCGTCTTACATGCCTAGCTGCACGTGTAATCCAAAACCACAAATTAGACTATGTAGGATTAATACCAAAATCTTTAGAATCATTTGTTCAAAATCATGGATGTTGTTCACGGACCTCAATAATTTCAGAGTGAAATCTCAGTAATATTTATTCTTTAAGTCATCCCTTTTGATATACTTGTCATTTGCAGACCTTCCAATAAGATCTATTAACCATGCATCATGTTCATTTCAGATTTTGCAGATACCGATAAAGCCCTCAGGTTTGCATATACAATTTAGGTTTGTTTGGAATTGCTATAAATATATATCTTCCCAAATTACAAATGAAGACACTTTTGTCATGCTACAGCTGCCCTACATCAGGAATAAGTTGAAATCATGTCATTTAATCGCAAGTGTGTCATCTGGAATTTATTTTGAGGTCAAAATGAGCTTGAAATCACGTCAATTGACGTCACGAGGATGTCAAAATGACCCCTCCCTTGATGTTGAATGACATAATTGCGTCATTAGTCAGTTCCCTGGGGATGGACTATAAAATGTACCGGTCCTGGTGAGTATCTCATAGAGGCACCAAAATATTGCCATGATTTGTGAATTTGTATTTATTGCATTTCTGACCAGCCTAAATTGCATCAGCAAACCCGTTCTAAATCAGTAAACGCCAAAAAGGACTGAAATGATGTGTGACGCATGATGGATGGTTTGTTCTTTTAGAGCAGTACCTTGCGTTCAATTGATCTTGTTGAATCATGTTCCCGTCCCGTCTTTCGAGCAGGCGCGGATTAAGGAGGGGGGGGGG